AGGCACGCAATGACTCTAAATAATAATGATCACGCCACCAGACACACATTCAAACTAAAGGAACCAGCCTGTTTGGAAAATGAGAGAAGTAGAAAGTACAGGTATTTGTGTTCAACATGTAAGAAGTAGAAAGTACAGGTATTTGTGTTCAACATGTAAGAAGTAGAAAGTACAGGTATTTGTGTTCAACATGTAAGAAGTAGAAAGTACAGGTATTTGTGTTCAACATGTAAGAAGTAGAAAGTACAGGTATTTGTGTTCAACATGTAAGAAGTAGAAAGTACAGGTATTTGTGTTCAACATGTAAGAAGTAGAAAGTACAGGTATTTGTGTTCAACATGTAAGAAGTAGAAAGTACAGGTATTTGGGTTCAACATGTAAGAAGTAGAAAGTACAGGTATTTGTGTTCAACGTGTAAGAAGTAGAAAGTACAGGTATTTGTGTTCAACATGTAAGAAGTAGAAAGTACAGGTATTTGGGTTCAAAATGTAAGAAGTAGAAAGTACAGGTATTTGAGTTCAACATGTAAGAAGTAGAAAGTACAGGTATTTGTGTTCAACATGTAAGAAGTAGAAAGTACAGGTATTTGTGTTCAAAATGTAAGAAGTCAAAGTCGTCAGAAAAATAAGTAGTGGAGTAAAGTACTGATACCAGAAAAATGTACTTAAGTACAGTAACAAAGTATTTGTACTCCACTACTTCCCACCTCTGCAGATGAGTTGGACTCTGAGACTGGCAGTGTGGGGTTTCCCAAAAACACCAGCCCCTGGTTTCCCTGAATGAACAATGGATGTCTCTCCCTATAATGTGTCTATTGGAATGACCTATTGTCCTGTGTTGCATTCACAGCCAGATTCCCCCAAATGGAAAATGAAGATTTGAGTCTGAGCTGGTAATGGTGCAAGACAGAAGCTAGCAAGTGACCATAATGTGACCATAAAGATGCCATTGTGACATGAAAATAATTACAAATAGAGGGATACATCTTTTCTGGGAGCAAGGGTGAGCTAGGGTTAAAATGTTTACCTAATTTCATGGCAATTCATAGCATTGTTGTTGAGATGTTTCACTAACAACCATATATTTTGTGGTGTTTCAGCAGGGTTATAGTTCACAGTCATGAGTTGATCAAATCTTTGTAAATAAGAAGTATGTTTAATTTAAAAACCATCATACTATAGTGGAAAATACGTACTTATCCACCTCAGTGAAGTGTTAAAACGATCATTAAGTATATTTCAAGATGTTACTTTCTTTTTTTGGTATTTCCACTCTAGGTATTTGTATGTAGAAATTGGAAAAGCACATCGCATTTCTGTCGAATAATTGTGCCACTTTCTGTAGTGGAAGTGGAGATCCTTCCCTGGATGTACTTCCCCGTAGCGTTTTGTTTTACTATAAATGCTAAAACCTACTTCACTGTCTCATAATATCAGCATCAATCTCTTGGAAGTGGATGCTGTTCATTTGAATGAATTTATGTTTCACCAGAGAACATATCTCTAGGCATAGTACGAGCTAAATTTAAAGTCATGCAATACTGTCATTTTCCCCATTATTGCCCCTCATTGTCCGGTCGGTGGAGCAGAACATTCTGCTGGAATCCAGTCAAAGGCTCCCAGCAGGCTGTGTGTCCCCGGGGACCAAACACACAGATGTGCACACATGAACACACCCTTCGATTCTGCATTTCAACATCACACGACGACGAGACTGTGGGGACAATTTAACCAAACACAGCGTCTTCATTATCACTGAACCCTAAAGAGCCATTAAACGGAGTGTATAGCACGGGTCATGGATTAATTAAGCAGCGCTGTGCCGACATGTGACAACATTATTAAATTACATGCACATCATTAAGTGCCCTGAGTTGATGTGGAAAACCAAATCGATTGCAATTAAAGCACTTTTTTCTTTCCTCTCTTTCCACTTTTGTATCCACCTGTGTTTGCTCTGTAGTCTGTTTGAGTCAAATGTTGAGAACCCCGAAGTGTTATGTTAGGAATGTACAGTATGGGTCCCCAGCACATAGAAACTGCTGGATACTAACTTGCATATGTTGGGCAATTAGCATAAGTTGTATTAATTAGCCTATGCAGACAATAGTTCAAAAAAGTAGTGGTTTTGGAAGTTATTGAGGATGTTGAATCCATTTCTGTCATTTTCAGGATAAAAAAAGGCAGCTTTAAACAGAAAGTGGCCATCTTTGGCTAATTTTGATGAATTATGGGTTGATTTTTAAGTTTTAGGCGACTCAAAGCTACAATCTTTGGCAGAAAATACCCCAAAAATGACACCAAAAATGTCCAAATCGGCCAGTTTCTTTGTTATCTTTAGCATCCGGCAGTTTTTCTGTGCTGGGGACCCGCTCACTATACATTTCTAACATACAACTTTGGGCTTTTGATTAATTATGGGTGGATTGTAACGTTTTAGGGGACTCATAACTGCCATTTTGGTCATAGAAATGTCAAGTACACATCTCAAAAACCACACCAAAATTGCATAGGCTAATTAATGCACCTTATGCCAATTGTGCAAATTGCCCAACATATGCAAGGTAGCGTCTGGCAGTTTCTAACATAATCTTTGGGCTACTCAACATTTCCGGGTTCACAGTGCTTCAAGTAGACTAGTGAGATGTTGTACCTGAGAATATTTGTTCTCTCAGCATCGCGCTGCTTCATATTCATTGTGTTGCCGCCGTGCACACCGTGAAGCTGCTCTGTAAAACAGGAACTCCGCTTCTCTTCTGTTGGAGAGCAGCAGCCTGACTGATCAAGGTCAAGGGGTTAAACACACCTTTTCCTTCAGGGGAAGAAGGAGTATAAACACGAGAAGTAGAACATAATTTTCTTGGTTCTTTTAATAGAATAGAATTGGGAGGGATGAACGCCTCTGTAATGGTCACACATGCAGAGCACACAGCACACACAGTGACATTTGTTCTCTGCTTTTAACCCATCCTAGCACCAGGAGTCTAGTACTAGGAGCCAGCTATTGTACAGCGCCCGGGGAGCAATGGGAGTGGGGGGGGGGGAAGGGGGTTGTCCCCGGTGCCTTGCTCAAGGGCACCACGGCAGGGCAGGAGGTGAACTGGGACCTCTCCAAGTAGCAGTCCACACTCCATATTTAGGTCTGTTTGGGGACTTGAACCGGCGACCCTACGGCTCACAGTCCAAGCCCCTACTGACTGAGCCACTGCCGGTTCTTTCACAATCTTATGCTATCTCATATTCTGAGGACAAGGCATGCTTAGTACTACAGAAACTAATATTTAAATGTTACAGTGCAGATAAAAGAAGCATAGATAGCTTTTTTCTAAGTCTTTAAAAATTCACAAAAGTGCTGCGAGTGGATTTGTTAAACATCTCATGTGTGCATAAAACACAGCACCCTTGAGTTAACTTATTTTGGGCTTCTTCAACACTTTTCAAAAGACTTCCCAGGGAGATTTTTGACAACAAAGCACTTGGCAGAACGTCTAACCTTTAGCACATGGCGACCTGCCCTCACTCCTTTTCAGACCGCAGTCCTGCAAAACGAATACATCAGTTATCTCTCAGTGGTGGACGTACAAGAGCTCTCACAAATGCACTGTGCTTAAACCTATTGTCTAAAAAAGGCTCTGCAGTTTTTCAATAGCTCTTCAAAAGTGTTTGCATCACAGCGGTATACGTGCAGCATCCTTACAGAGAGAGATACATGGTAAATAGGGCTATGGAAGCATTCAAAAATGTTCTTGAAATCCAAATAATGAATAGAGCAATATCAGAACCACAGTAGGTGCAATATAAAGTGAATATAGCTAATGTTGAATGAAGTGCTGCAGAGAAATCCCGCCTGCAAATGTTCTTCTACAAACTTAATTAAACTTGCTCGTTTGGTACATCGGTAAATCACTTTTAATGATGATGTTTCAATAATAATTATTCCCCATAGTGTTACACAACGATCACAATTGCAATATCTATCAAAATAATTGCAATTAATTATTTTTTTCTCAATCATGCAGCCCTAATGGGATTTTAAAGGTTGTTTTAATGGATCTAATGATGTCTATGAACCAAAATAACCCTTTTTTATTGGACTAATAAACTGATTGTGGTGCTGGTTGAGAAGTCACTGGGTCTCTAATAGTGAGTTTTCTCTTTCCTGTAGTGTGTTATATAAGTTTGTGTGCATGTCAATGGTCTGCAAAGGCTAAAATCTCTCAGAAAATGAGCATGTCCTTTTTTTAAATTGGATTATTTTGGCTGTTCAGGCAAAGAATTGTTCCTACTGTCTTTATAAAATGTCATAGACAAAGATCTGGCATGAGTTTGACCACATTAACATGAACATGAACAGTTACAATGAAATGTCTCTTATTAAATTGACGCGGTAATGAGGGTACATTTGTTGGCATGTCTGTTCTAAGAACTGCACATACACTAATGGAGTGGATGGAGTTAGTAAAGAAACTAAGGATGTTTTGTGCAGACACATTAAGCGTCTTGTAATGAATGTTTATTTTTCCACCAGATGCATTTATTACCTTCTTTTTATCAGCAATGAAACAAACAAACTGAATGTTTATTCGCAGCGTTCAGCTCTGGTACAAATCCACATTTCTGATGCTCCAATTTTCTCTTCCTCTACCGAATGTAGTTGCCAAGCGAAATTAGCCAAGATCCCACATACTCACTGGAAATGCTATTAACTGCCATGGTAACACGGTAACCGCTCCAGGAAGCAGGGTGCAGCTTGTTTTTCACATTTCAAAAGTACATCTTCCCGTCTCTCTGGATGCGGAGGGAGAGAAACGAAAAACAGCTTCATTTAATTGTAGAGAGGTGACATTGAATGATGATAACACATGTTTCAAACTTGATTATTGATCCTATGGACGGAGCATGAAAACACAGACAAATGACGGATAAAGAAGAGTGATTGCATGTATAAATCCTCCATTATGTGCTTCCTCCATCACTCACTCTTCATTCTGGCTTTTGCAGTGAAACCGACCAACATCGATGTGGGGATATACGTCAACAGCATCGGGCCTGTGTCGTCCATCGATATGGTGAGTTAACACCTCCTGTCTCTCCATCCACACACACACACACACACACACACACACACACACACACACACACACACACACTTGTCCGTGGTCCAACATCATCACACATGAAGGCGGTCATCACTCACGCTGTATTTAGAGGTCGTGTTCCGCCACAGCTGTTTGTGTGCAGAAGGAAGCCAAGAAACACAGGTGTGCACGCTTTGTGCAGCTAAAAAAAAAACTAGATATGAGAGATAGAAATCTGCTTTCTGTGTGTCGGTTTCTGCCTTTAATCTTTATCCAGTGTGAGTTTTTGGGGATTAATTACCTTTAGAATAAATACAACTTTATTGTCATTGAGTCAAAGTAATGGGACAAATAAATGCGATCAGCATCTAACCAGAAGTGCAGTCAAATGCATTTATGAATACGTATAATATAAGTATGTAAATATGAAAGATATGACAACTATTAGACTTTTTTAAAGAGGCCCTGTTATGCTTTTGGGGCAATTTCCCTTTCCTGTAGTGTCTTATAGAGGTTTTTGTACTTGCTAAGGGGCAGGACATCTCTGAGCTGTCGACCAATCAGAGCAGACTGGGCTCTGGTTTCAGACAGAGGGTGAAAAGAGATGCTGCAGCACAGGCAGTATGAGAAAAATTGTGTGTGTGTAGCAGGTAAAATCTTTTTTAGAAGAACACCAGGACTCGGATCGATGCATATTTCGTTCTGAAAGGCCCAGTCAGATGCGATAAAAGTTATGAAGTGCTGAAACTGAAAGCTTGATGCGCGGTAATGAGATAATAGACAACTTGAAGCACAAACAGTCTCTTGTTTGGCCTCGAGCGAGGTGCGGCAGCCTTAATGGAGGCAGCCTTTCATGGGCAATGCAAAGAGCCCATTCAGTGGCTGTCAATGCGATCAAATGTGATATTTTTCGGCTTGAAAATTGTCTCTTAAAACATCGCAAATGTGCTGCTTTGACAATAATAACTGAGCTGGGCGTAATAATGACGGTGCTTTATCTCTGAACTCACCCAATCTCCAGATGTGGAGTTGTGACTGTTGCCTAGTAACATTGAATATACCCATACCCTATTTTTTTACTGACAGCTCTGGCTTGTTACTTTATTATTTAACATTTCACTCAGAATTAAATCACAGAGAAGATCATTCATGCACGGACAAATGTGCATTCACTCCTGTACGTTAGTCTTTATTATCACTATTACTTTCCAGAAATTAGTTAATTAAAAATGTGAAAATGATGCCATTTAATGTCTTCTGGGAAGTTATCAAGCACCGTTGTTTATTGTGTTTTTAGATAGACGCTTGGCACAGAGGGATTCATTTTAAATGAGTTGTTTAAATGAATCTATGCCAGAGCATTGCTATGCCGTCCTTTAGCAGAAGACATTTAGGATTCCTTCCAAAGAGCAATTGCAAACTCAATTTGGGATGCAAAATGGTGCAGTTTTGTGGATAGTTGTTTGTGTGGACTCAGAGGAGCCAACCGGACACTTTGGAAAGGACTGGACTTTGGACTCGCTGTAGACCGTGTGATTGGTTGTATTTTTCAAGTATTAATAATGCACTGATTGACAGACAGAGCGATAATCAAACTGACCTGCACATGACATCTGTTGCATGTCTGTCCGTAATATCAGGCATCCAGTTTCTCTTCCTGAGGCTTCTTCTCAATCAGCTTTATTGCAGAGTGGGTTTGCACTTACAAGGAATTAGCTTTAATATAATATGGTGCATACATCGAGGGTTAGAAGAAATATAGGTACACAAAAAGCACACATTTAATTATGCAAATGTATGAAACAACATTTAATTTAGCCTTTTAGAATAACTGCTCAAAGCCTTTTCCCCCTGCCATACTGCTCTACATATAGCCTGCTACCAGCTGAAGCTACACAGTGAGTGTCTCTCCTCAGTTTTTCCTTTTCATCCGAGATGTGAGACGCTGAGTTTCTGCTGCAGGGAGCACACTGCTGGAAAACAGAGGTGAAGATTACTCCTCCGATATCCAGGTGCAGTCTCTTCTCTGGAAAGACACATGTCTCACAAACTGCATGTCGCTGATCTGTCTCAGAGAAACTGTTTACATACTGAATACAGGGCTTATTTGCTCACATACAATGTGTTTTTAAAACTCTTATGTTGAACACGTTGAAGATTTAACTGAACAGGAAAGGGCCAGACAGTTTTATTACTGATACTCTATTTGAACTAACCCATAAGACAAACAGAGGTCAATATGGCAGTCTTTTGCAATGTGTTCATGGCACAAGTTGGCATCTGATGACATTAACAGGGTGTCTGCGGGGTCTTCAAAAGTATTAAAAGTTGATAAATCAATTTAGCCAAAATGAAGGCTATTAAAAAGTCATTTTCCAAGGTGTTACATTTTATAGCTTGTTTTCAATAAGTATATAAATTGTCCAAAGAGGTTGTATTCTACAGTGTGCCTGAATGTAATCATTGCGTAGGTGTGTAGTGTGTGTATTCTGTGTAGTTTATTTATGGCATCCCGTTGGGTTTGACGTCATCTGAACAGGACATCGCACGCTCACTGCTTGATAGCGTGAAGGTCCGTTTACGCCGGTTGTTAAACAACATGGTTATGGGGAAATGCAAGTCTGCGTCCAAATGGTTGGAAGATAAGGAGGAAGGACAATCAATACTGAATATAGTCAATGTGAGGTAAAGTGTGTCGCCAATGTAACCGGTTAAAAGTGGCGATGAGGGTCTTAAAAGGGTTTACATGTGACTTCAGGATTCCTGCATATACCCTTAATAAAGAAACGATATATTTTGCAGCCATAGCCTAAATGCAATCACCATAAAGAAAAGCGAATTATTAGCGGTAAATAAAGTCCACCAGTAAATCCTTTGTTCATGTAAAGAAAGTTAAATCTAGTTTACGAATCAAAAACTCAGGCGCTGACAAAAAAATACTCTATAAAGAATACATTTAAATACAATACAGATAGTTCAAGTTTGTTAATGTTGTATATGTACACTGACAGATTTTATACAATTGAATGATTGTACTAAACCCCTTTTGGCTATTGCTGAAACATGTGGTTTGATATCAAGAACATCTTAAGGCTTATACATACTATAAAATAAATACAATTTTATAATGAAATATATAGTCATTTCGCTGTCAACCCTACAGTGAAAACGATATTACATAAATGATAAGGAATCTGAACAAAAGCCCCATCTGTTGCAGGGCTGTTGTGGAGGATTGCATCATGTTGAGCAGGTGTTGCCTCCTTTGGATCGACCCTCTGTATGTTGTGATCTACACAATGAAAGGATAAGGTAACAACTGCTCCTCTGCAGGGTGACTCAGTGAATTACTCTTAATAACACTGAAGGAGCTTCACCGTGATCACTTCCTTTCTGCCGGATCCGTCTCATTACATGGCTGCATGCAAAAGACATCAATCTATTGACACTTCAGAAGAAAACGATGCTTTTAAATACAAACCAGAGCCACTGAGGAGCTTCTAGTGAAAAGAGAGACTGTCTGCAGAAGTAAACAGCTTTCTGGGAGAAGTGGAGGGATCTGAGGAGAAAGCAACAACAAGGAGCCAGTGGCTACATGAGATGAAAGGGTCTAAAGCAGACCCAAGATTTCCTTTTTACTGGGCAATCAGAATTAAGTGTTTTACAAAACTGGGTAATAATCAGAGTAGATTGAGCTTAATTTGCTCACTTAGCATTTATTGTTGGTTAACATCCGTGTGTTGGTCCGTTTGTTTTCTTGTTTGTGTGTTTTTGTCTTGCATCAATGTTCTCATGTTTGAAAAGCATAGATACAAACCAAGAGATTGATTTTATTATTAAAGAGGACATATTATGCAAATGTCCAGGTTTCATATGTGTCTGTAGTGTCTCTACTCCAACATGTCTCCATGCTGTAATGTTCACAAAGGGGCATCACATCACCCCGGTCCTCAAAGAACTCCACTGACTCCCCGTTTCACACCGCATCCATTACTAACTCCTGGTCCTCACTTACAAAGCCCTCCACCATCTGCCCCCCCCCCCTCCCCTACCTCACTGACCTCCTCATCCTCTACCAACCACCCCCCCGGTCCCTCAGATCCACCTCAGCCGGTTTGCTTTCCACCCCCCAGCCCCGAAGCTCTGGAACTCCCTCCCCCAAGACCTCCGTGAGTCTGAGTCCCTCACCCTGTTCCAGTCCCGCCTCAAAACCCACCTCTTCACCTCTGTATATCCATAAGCCCCCCCCCCCCCCCCCTCTCAACCAACTTCCCCCTGACTGCTTTTTCTGTTTTGTTTTGTTGTTTTTGTTTGTTTTTGCCAGTCCTTGTTTGTCTACCCTCCCTCATAATGTAAAGCGTCTTTGGGTTCAAGAAAAGCGCTATAGAAATATAATTTATTATTATTATTATTATTATTAAAAAGCTCTTTATTTTCCTCATACTGCCTGTGCTGCAGCACCTCTGCTCTGATTGGTTAGCTGGCTGGCTCTGTTGTGATTGGTCAACTTCTTAGAGATGTCCCGCCCCTTAGCCCATCACGTACAATGTGTTGCAGCGTGAGTGTTTATGTTTCTGTTTTCTTTGTCAGCTTCACTTTAACACCATTTTCCTCAACAAAAAAACATGTATGATGAAAAGTAGTGGTCCGAGCATTGGTCTATGGGGTAAAAGATGCAACGTTAAGATTTATATTCCTTCATCATAACAAAATGTTTTTAAGCTAAGCCATACATTTTCCTCGTGCAGTTTTTAATTTTAGACAAGGGAAAACTGATAATGCATGAAAGAGTAGTTTCCCTAATCAAACATACCTCTACAATTGAATATGCATTTCCTCGGGATGCATGTTATCCTAAAAGTCCCCATTTCTAAAGTCTTCATTGGCGTGTGGAGCTGTTTCCCAATGTTCTTGTTTCTATTTATAACAACATCCAGCTATGCAAATCATGTTTATTCTAGCATTCATCGCAAGTGAGAACATCCATTTAT